GGGATCGATGGCGGAAACAGGCTAGCATTGCACTTCGGAGCATTCGCTCCATGGGATGAGATGAACGTAGCAACGAAGGTGACGCTACGAAACGTAAGGTCGGGGGATCCGATTGCGATCATCTACATTCCCAGTGCAACCCTCGCGCGGTATGGAGCTGGAGTCGCGGCAAATGGGACATTCATGGTCTTTGACGTGATCCCGTTCTATGAGGTCAAGTCCATTTGGATTGGCAAAAGCAACGGAGGGAAGCGCCTGGAGTACGAGGACGTCAAGCGAGCGTACTCGAAATGTGTGGAAAACGAGATCTGTCCGGGTTTCGTTGATTCATCCCAGGAATCGGCTGCGATGTTCCTACAGAACGTCGCGAAGATCAACGAGAGGATGCCTGAGACTGAGGCAGGTGCCGACAATCTGCACTACATCAAAGACATGGTTGATCGTGCATGCAAACTGTTTCGGGAAAACAAGCTGGAGGAGTTTGATGCGCAGACCAACGAGATCAGGGACGAGATCAGCAAAGTCGTCATCCTGAATGACGAGACTTGGGAAGGACTAAGATGCCGGATATGTCCGTCATGTGCGACCGCGATTCCCACATGCTTCTGTGTGTGCCTGGAGTGTGGGGCGCAATTGATCTCTACCGGGAGATTTTGCATCCACATCAGTTCCGACGACGATGGGGACAACCAAAGGCCCAATGTTTCGGGTGATGCCAGGCGCGCGCAAGACGAAGCCAACCATGGTGCGGCAGCACAGGAAGAGGATGATGAGGCGGAGAACGTTCCTGAAGAAGACGACATGGACACGCAAGGATACACGTCCGGCTACATGTCTGAGGAAGAAGATGGCAGTTGGCAATACCGCGACAACGACTTGACATCGCGGGATATCATAAATACCCAGCGGATGGCGATTTGCCTTGATGAGCCGCGCGAAGCTCAATACATGGCGGGATTCATCGCACTGCAGATGTCAAAGATGGGGATGTTCGAAGGTGGTGAAAAGAGAACGATCGATGCCGCGCTCGAAGGGAAGCTAGGCTGTCCATACCACAACGACTTCGAGAAGTACCCCAACATGACTGAGCACGATCAGGAAGGGATCCTGTTGCCGTCAACAATAGTGAAGATTAGCCAATCTCAGAATGTTCGGACAAGGACCTTCCGGTCGGCTGAGGAGCGTGATGAATACATTCGTCTGATGGTATGTGCGAGGGGCTATACATATTTTACAAGCTGTGGATTGCAGCGAGAATCCTCGACATCACCAAAGACGAAAAAGCTCCTGGTCAAGGATCGCGTACACCCGGTGGGTGATATCATTTACAGATGCTTCTCCCTGGCTTTCAACTGTAAATATATATCATTCGTAAGGGAAGGCTTGAACCTTGGCAAATATGGTTATTCGGTCAATGTGAGCGCCATTATTGCAGCCACTGACCCGAATAAATGCGACACACCTCTGCTGGATTGGTGCCTCCGAATGGGGCATTGGATACCAGAAGATCATCACAAGAAGTGTGTCCGGGCGCGAGAAGCCCAAAAGAATTTGGACGAAGAGTTCCGTCGACGTACCCACAGACTGTCCATTGGGGACAGGTATGCGTAATGCAGATGTGGATTATTATTGCTTATGTGGTGTGGCGCGCCCACCAACAGCGATACATATATTCACTCCGATGTTGTTTGCGGCATGATGTGGGCTAGTCCCCATCTATTGCTTGCGTCTCATCAATGTCATTGCGATGGAACGACTCTACATCATGATATGATTTCATGCGTCCAAGATGAATGGATGTGTATACATTTACATATTCCGACGACTATGACATTCCGGATATCATGGATGGAACTATTACCTCATGGATGATTTCCTTTTCATTATATATATATATATATATTATTCATGGTACCTGGAATGGCTATGTTTTGCATGTATTGCTCACCAAATCTTCTTTGCCGATGATATTCAGATGGCTCATGACCGTGCGCTACTATGGATTTCTATGGCCAACCCATTTCTGTGGATGACGGCTGCGCGATGCGCAAATGCGGCAGCCGGGATTTCAAGTGGTTGCGTATTGGCTAGAGGCAAAATTGTCTCTTGCATCTGAGTATAGGAATGTGCTACGATTTGTGGATGCATGTTTCTGCCTTGATTGGACCTGGCAAGTTTCACAATGAATGGACGGTGTAGCAATAGTGAATGCAAGAGTGTTCGACACAGTTTCGTAGCTGAAGCCGTGACCATTGGAACGTTTTGTGGTGTTTGGACCGCATGATGGACAATGCGACCCAAATGGGGGATGTTAAAACCCTCCTGGCCCCGTGCCTAAATTGGGAAGCAGTTCTGAGGTCCGTGTTTGTATTGCTTACAAGGTTCCATTGATTGCCATTTGGCTCAAGTCACAAGTGAGGTTCAAGATCTTATGTGAAGCTGCGTTCATACGTGATCGGCAATTGAGAGCGGAAAACACTTCGCTTGCGCTGCATTTGTCAGGACCACTGTTGTAACTATTATTCCTTCTCCCTTACAACAGTTACACGGGTTCGGCTACAACGGTTTGACCGTATACACCTTTCTACGTGGTTGGCATTTACAGCTGGAGGGTTCGGTGGACAGCGTCCCACGGGACGTCACCTTGCCGTCTCTTGACACCATTTGAGGTGCTCAAACGCTGGACAAGACTGATTTGATAGGATTGCAGCCATGAGGTCATTGTGGCGGAACAGGTTCTCATGCCCTAAGTCTCATTCTATGATTTTGCGCGTGAAGGCGTACAAGCTGAAGTGACACGATGGATGAAAAAATGGCGATGGCAAGCGTCGCGCGGCAGAGTTTGACAAGGCCGTGGTGGTGTCTATGATGCATGCTGCATCACATGAGTGGCCATGTAGGTGATGCATGCCTTTCCTTGCGGACCATCACCGATGCCTGACGCCCGTGAGTGTCGGACACTGTCACGTCCTGTGTTCCGTGGCCTCCACATACCACCAGGTGCCCATCGATATCTCCCCCCCCCGGCCCGAGACCCCGAGCCCCCGGATCCTGGCACCTACGGTCCCACCCCCACCCCGACCCCCTGAACTCGCACCCCGACACCCCGGCACCCTCACCCCCAGGACAAGCCAACCCGCAACCAACCATAAACCAACCCTAAATACCTTAAAATTAAATCTTAAATTATAGACTTTAAACTTAAAACCAATCTTAAATTCCAACCTTTAAATTAATTCTAAATAAGCACTTTTAAATCATCCCAAACACTAGAAACTAAATCCTAAAACCAAATCTTAATCAACTTTAAGTTAATCCTAAAACCAATTCTAACAATAGCTCTAACCAAATCTAAATCATACACTTAAACCTAATGAAATTCTAACTGACTAAATCAACATAAAATTACCCTAATTAACTTTAAATTAACTCAGTCAACAACATACTCCTAAATTCATTCTAAATTACTCCTAGTTAACCTTGAATTCAATACAATTTAACCACAGGACCACAAATCAGCAGGGGGGTACAATGCAACTGCACACCACACTGAGGGGGGGGCGCTGGCAACGCTGTACCACAAGTATATACAACATGTTCCTTTCGCCTGTCGCGTTCCTGCGCCCCCCCCCCCCAATGGTATGGGTCCATCCAAGGGCGGGGCGGGGGGGGGGCTATGGGCCCCCCCCCCCCCACCCTTAGAGGGTGGCGGGGGCTTGTGGGGCAGCTTGCTCCAGTGTGCGCACGACCTTGCGGGTGCGTTTGCGGCTCTGTTCGTGTGTTGCGCTGCAGTGCGATTTGCTCATTTCGCAGCACGCGACAAGTTGCAGCGCTGTCGCAAGTGACAGTGCGCAATGCCACGACGCAGTTTGTGGTTTGCAGCGCCGCAACCAAGTGCTAACCAAGTGCGCTGCAACGCGCCAGTGGCAAACGCACTTTGCTACCTACTATAGACCCCAACCCCCATTCCCACAGGGGGGCGGGTGGTGTGGGAACCATGGTCACACTGTGCTACCTTTTGCCATTTCACAGGGGCGGGGAGGCTTGCGGCCACACTGTGCCACAATTCTTTCAGGGGGGGTGGCTTCTCGCATTCCGATCTCCAACCAAATGTCACCCTTGACGTGTAGATGAACCGTCTCCTTCTCAGGTGTTATCATGAACGGCAACTTCCCACAAATCCAGTGAAAAGAGTATCCCATCTTCACACATGGACCCCCCTCCCACCCATCCCACACAAGAACGCAGGGCTTGTGAGGTCACACTGTGATACCTTCTTGACTGAGCATGACCATTGGGTGGGGGGGTGGGGGGATGGCCGCCTGGAACATATATACATGTATATCACCTGCGCTTGATCCTACAGGTATGCGCAAGCAAGGATTTTTAAGCTTGTTGAATGGTGCAGAGGCTGTCAAGCAGCAGACAGCCTTGGATCTGAACGGCGACGGAGTTGTGACAGCACAGGAAGTTCAGCAGGCAGGGGGTTGAGCAGCATTGGGCAGCAGAAGTGCTGTGCATTTGCGCTGCGCTGATTTTGATGATGTAAATCCGCATGTTGTGAGCAATCTGTGCCAATGCATTGGCAGTCAGCGCAGACAGCTGCAGGCGAAGGACACTTTCAGAGCCCTGGACACCAACGGCGATGGCGTCGTCAGCCGGCAAGAAGTTCCGAAGGCGCCGTAGCACTGAAGAGTGAGTGGTTCGCGATTCGGCCAGAAGCATTTGTAGGTAGTGGAGAATGGTTTTCAAGGAGTGCGAACCAGCAGGTGTTGTGTTGTCACCTTCCTGAATAAGTCCTATTCATTTCTTTGAGAGCAATCTGTGCGCGCGGCGTCGCTTCGCATATCGTTCAACCCATTTGAGGTGCTCAACACGGGACAGACTGTGATTTGATAGGATTGCAAAGCTATGAGGTCATTGTAGGGAATCGTAGAATGATGTGTAAAGCAGGCCTCATGTGCCCCAAGCCCTATTTTGCGATTTTGCGCGTGGTGGGCAGGTGCAGAAGCAGCTGGACATGATGGATGAAAATGGTGACGGCAGCGTCAGCAGGGCAGAGTTTGACAAGGCCGTGGTGGTGTCCATGATGCATGTGCCGCACCACATGAGGGTCATGCAGGTGATGCATGCCTTTGTATTCTCACAAGACCTGGATTGCAGGCTGTAAATGTTTGCTTGCACAGCTAGGCCTATTGAAGTATAGATACATATGTATATATATATATGCATATGTATATTATCTGCGCTTCATCCTACAGGTATGCGCAAGCAAGGATTTTGATGCTTGTTGAATGGTGCAGAGGCTGTCAAGCAGCAGACAGCCTTGGATCTGAACGGCGACGGAGTTGTGACAGCACAGGAAGTTCAGCAGGCAGGGGGTTGAGCAGCATTGGGCAGCAGAAGTGCTGTGCATTTGCGCTGCGCTGATTTTGATGATGTAAATCCGGTCTTGCGGAATGTTGCGCATGTTGTGAGCAATCTGTGCCAATGCATTAGCAGTCAGCGCAGACGTCTGCAGGCGAGGGACACTTTCAGGGCCCTGGACACCAACAGCGATGGCATCGTCAGCCGGCAAGAAGTTCAGAAGGCGATGTAGCACTGAAGAGTGAGTGGTTCGCGATTCGGCCAGAAGCATTTTGTAGCTAGTGGAGAATGGTTTTCAAGGAGTGCGAACCAGCAGGTGTTGAGTTGTCACCTTCCTGAATAAGTCCTATTCATTTCTTTGAGAGTAATCTGTGCGCGCGGCGTCGCTTCGCATATCGTTCAACCCATTTGAGGTGCTCAACACGGGACAGACTGTGATTTGATAGGATTGCAAAGCTATGAGGTCATTGTAGGGAATCGTAGAATGATGTGTAAAGCAGGCCTCATGTGCCCCAAGCCCTATTTTGCGATTTTGCGCGTGGTGGGCAGGTGCAGAAGCAGCTGGACATGATGGATGAAAATGGTGACGGCAGCGTCAGCAGGGCAGAGTTTGACAAGGCCGTGGTGGTGTCCATGATGCATGTGCCGCACCACATGAGGGTCATGCAGGTGATGCATGCCTTTGTATTCTCACAAGACCTGGATTGCAGGCTGTAAATGTTTGCTTGCACAGCTAGGCCTATTGAAGTATATATATATATTTATATATATATATATATATAAAAGCACACATATCTATATCACCTGCGCTTGATCCTACGTAGAGGTATGCGCAAGCAAGGATTTTGTTGCTTGTTGAATGGTGCAGAGGCTGTCAAGCAGCAGACAGCCTTGGATCGGAACGGCGACGGTGTTGTGACAGCACAGGAAGTTCAGCAGGCAGGGTGTTGAGCAGCATTGTCGCAGCAGAAGTGTCGTGCAGGTGCGCTGCGCTGATTTTGATGATGTAAATCCGGGCTTGCAGAATGTTGCGCATGTCGTGAGCAATCTGTGCCAATGCATTGCCGGTCACGCAGACGTCTGCAGGCGAAGGCTACTTTCAGGGCCCTGGACACCAATGGCGATGGCGCCGTCAGCCGGCAAGAAGTTCAGAAGGCGCCGGAGCACTGCCGCTTGCAGGCTTTGTTGTCCCAGGCAGATGCCTGCTCGCAATGCTACTTACTTTTCGGTGATTGTTTGTCGCCATATGGAGCTGCTAATTCGTGGTTTGGATCCCATGGAACTGAGGGGACAGACTCGCAGGAATCGCGCCAGTTCATTTGCATACCCTGAGCTCCGTTAGGCTCGGCTGCCAGCCGGCCCGAGCGAGGCATGCGGGCAGCTTCTTAGAGGGGGAGTCTAACGGGAACCAGAGTCCGATAGAGGAGCAATAGCTATGCGTGGCAGATGCTGACAACATGAGGGATGCACATGGGAGTGTTGATGAGTAATATTGAAACCATCCGTTGCATTCATGGAACATAGAATGTATTGTGCCTGGGCCAGCAAAGTCTTGCCACTTGAAAACAAACCGAAGGAGAGATGAAGGCGACCGCTTGGTTGGAAGAAGTGTCGCTGCGTGTGCTTTGTTAGTAGGCAAAAACATCGAATCCTGGAGCATAGGGCTCTGACGTTGACAACTCTTTGTGTCGGTTGCAGACCGAATTGGTTGTTTGTCATGGGGTTGATGTGGGAAACGTTCGGCCTTAGGTTGAGGTCAAGGCCATTCGCAGGGCAAACGCCAATGCTGTCCACAGTCTGTGATGCTAAATTGTAGCGCAGGATACATGTTTGTGATGTTGGTTGCCGTGGTCGCTGTCATTGCGGTCCGTGTGCAGTTCTGCGAACATCGATTGTGTATTGCAGCGCTGCTTGCTTGGAGTATCTAACCGGAACTAGCATTCCATTGTCACTCATTGAGTCTGGATTGTGTTGGTCGATTTTCACGTTGGCTGCATCGTATTCCTTTCGGGAATCAGCAGTTGCCTTTTTTAATGCACCCTTACTTTTTGCCGCGACCAATCCTTTTGCGCTGCTTTGTTCTCGAGCACGCTGCACAATCGGATGTTATCCAGAAGCATGTCTCAAGGGGATGACTTGGTCGCAGCGCAGATTGAAGCACACGTTTCTGGTTCCACCCGCATTGATCAAATACGCATGGCCTTTGTCTGGTGCTGCTTCTTTGCAGGCCACACTTTCTATAGTGTCAGGTGCCCGCCTGATTGTTTTCCTTCCGCGCCTACTTTTTGCGTGTGGTGACTCATGGTCTATTTGCTTTCAACAGGTTTTTGTGTGTAGTCTTAGTCTTAGGCAGGCAAGTGACGGACCGGGGCTAGTCTACTTTGCCAGGAGTGGCAGGAGGAGTTTCTGAGGCGAGGAGAGTTGGGAACTGGAATGGCTCAGCTGTGGGAAACTCCACAAACTGAAAACCAGATTGCTCCCGGCGCTGGATAGAATGGCGACATACAAAGGAAATACAAAAGGCAGTGCAAAGGACATACAAAGAAAATACAAAGCACATACAAAGGACATGCAAAGGACATACCGAGGAAATACAAATACAAAGGAAATACAGAGGACATACAAAGGAAATACAAAGGTCATACAAAGGAAATGCAAAGGAAATACACAGGAAATACACAGGAAATACAAAGAAAATACACAGGACATGCAGAGGAAATACAACAGGAAATGCAAAGGAAATCTAAAGGAAATACCAAGGAGATAGAAAGGACATGCAAAGGACATACAAAGGAAATACAAAGGACATACAAAGAAAATGCAAGGACATGCAAAGGAAATCCAAACGACATACAAAGGAACTACAAAGGACATACAAAGGAAATTCAAAGGAAACACAAAGGACGTACAAAGGACGTACAAAGGACATAGAAAAGATAAACAAAGCAAAGACACACAGAGGACATCCTTTGTATTTTCTTTATATGTTTCTTTGTATTTTCTTTGTATTCCCGCTGTATTTCCTTTGTATTTCCTTTGTAATTCCTTTGCATTTTCTTTGTATGTCCTTTTGTATGTCCTTTGTATGTCCTTTGTATTTCCTTTTTACGTCCTTCGTATTTCGTTTAGATTTCCTTTGCATTTTCTTTGTATTTTGTTTGTATTTCCTTTGTGTTTCCTTTGTATTTTCTTTGTGTTTCCGTGCTGGTCGGGATGGCCGTTACAAATCGTTTTATTTTCGGTCGTGGTAACTTTGTTTTTTTTGGTCGTGGTAATATTTAACAATTTGTGTTGTGGTTTCAGCCCGCTCTGCTGGTTGGATATAGATGATCGGCCTATGTCCCCACAATTCTAGAGGCCTGTTTGACTGCTTTTGAACAAGCTTGTACTGGAGCCAAGTAAGCACAAAACATGTGTGGCCTGCATAGCTGCAATGCCTCTGTCCGCAAGCAGATTTACGATCTTAGCTGCAAAGGCTAGATGTGCGAATCCCATTTTGGCATGGAATAGGGTTCTGCTGATCGTCCTCTGCTTCCTATAACCAGAATGTTTGGCATTTGACTGTTGGATTTGTTTTGTTTTCAGCGTTTGCCGTTGCATCTCATGTCAAGCTTTGCATTTCTGCTCGTTGCACACAAAATCCAGATCTGATACACATTTTCATCTATACAACGCTCGAGTGATGCATGACGTTTGGCTAACCTCGCTCCGGATGTTGTTACTTTTTTGGGCTCACTGTTCATCGGTGTTTGTTCGATTCAACAGCAGCGACTCTTATGCATTTTGGTTGGAATTCAGCTATCGTTCAGGAACCTTTTGAGAAAGCACATATTGTTCTGGTGGACTTTGTTCATCGGCTTCCATTTTCTTCAAGGAATGGCAGAGACCCTCCTTTGACAGTGGCAAGGTTGCCAGTTGCAATGCAATATCTTGTGTGGACAAGTGCAGACTTTCAAAAGTAGGCTGATCCCCATGAAGGGAAGGATGGGTTGCTTGGGGGCCCCTTTTCAGATTTGTGCCAATGCCGGGCTATTGAGCTATTGAGACAAGGCTTGTTGACTGTCAAGTCCACTTGGCGGCTCCCAAAGGGACAGTTTTGAAGGCAAACAAGAATGGGGCCAACCGAGTTTGGCACATTTCTCAACATTTTGCAGACCTCCCACCAGGTTACCAACACAAAAGGTGCGGGTTGGAGCGGCTCATTCGCAGGCGAGCTGAAGCTCGTCTTTTGGCGAAGCTTGGGCGCTCGGAGGCCATGGGTTTGCACCAGCCGTTTGGACTCCGAGGGACATTTGAAGGATGTTGAAACGCTAAGCACTTTTGTGGTTACAAAGATTTGAAGATGAAGCAATAAAGGATGTTTGAGTGCTTGTTCATTGCCAGACTTAGCTGGCCTCTGTTTTGGGCGAGGCCGCAAGACAACCATTTTCCAACTGACTCGCTTTTGGGTGCAGAGTCTAAGTTTGCTCAAGGTTTGAATGACCTCAGTTGCCTGATCCCGATGATCCACTTGGCATCCGGGGACACAAAGGCCCCATTGCGCTTCTCGTGCCGGCCTGTAGGCGGCTGTTTGGGTGTTGGGAACAAAGGTCTAGATTCCCGCAGCTCCAACTCCGAGAAGACCGCAGAACCTCAGATTAGGAGAAGAGTGTTTGCCTTCCTCAGCCAGCCTAACACTAGCCACTTTTTGCCAGGATGGCTGGTACGCTCGCATACCAGCACAACTTTGCCCGTTCCTACAGAGCAACAGCCGATCAACGCGTCATTCGGCACGGCTTCCTTTCTTGTCATTGTATGTAGTAGGTAGCATTGTTTGTTGCTCAGGTGCCCCTTAGAGAAGACCATCAGGGGACTGATATGTTCCACTCTTTTCCAGCTTCTCTGTTTACCGCGTTGTGCTGTTTCATGGACGGGACAGCCGTTGTGACGGTTTGAAGGGAGTCGTGGTCACTCGCTTGCTAGGAGCCAACCGCCGCTGCGGAGGTGTGCGGGCTGCTGGGGCTGGAACGCTCTTAGCATTTGCTTTCAGCATTTGTTTCAAAGGCTCAAACCAACATTTACATGCCAGTGTTTTGTGCTCCACCGTTTGTGGTGCATCGACGCAGGTATCAAGCACTGGTGACACCTTTCAGCATGGCACCGTTGCGCCTGTCACTTCGGGGGGGGGGGGCTTTTGCGAGGAAACAAGCAAGTTTTGATATCGAGTTGGGCAATATGTTGGAAGGTCACAACGGAGCCGACCATGGGAGGGGTCCAAGTTTTGCCCTTTGCCCATGGGCGTTTGGGATACCCCTAACATGGAGCTGGCTTGAGCATGGGTTCCGTGATCCTGGCGCTTCCTGGGGATTGTGTCCTATGAGCAGAGCATGATGACATGTGTAAGTGCTTACCTTGATTCGCCAGGCTGGAGCAAGGCTCGTTTTCTCCTTCCTTGTTTCCTCTATATATATATATACAGAATATACACATCTATATATATATATGTATATACACATGCACGCGTGGCCGGATTCTGGCATTGAAAAGGGCCCATGCGTTTCGCCAAGTCCTATCGCTTGAGTCTCAGGACTGAGGACTTGCTTTTTCTTAAGCCGATGGATCTTTGGGCTTCCCTGGGCTTGGAGAGCTTGCGCTGTTCATAAGCAGTGGATCCCTACGGGCAACCTTCAGGCACATGGTCAAAGAACAGCAGTTGTCCCAACCCTGCTGTCCCGACAAAGCGTGAAGCAAGATGTTCTTGGTCAAGTGTTTCTGGTTGTCCTGTGGTGATTTGTGTTCTTTTCCCAGTTGGTTCTCTACACCTCTGCTGGTTCTGAACTTCAGCTTGAGGTTCTGACTTGGGTCGTGCTTCCTAGAGATTGGCTCCAAACCCTGCAGCAGGCGAGCCGTCGGCTGCGGCCCCGGGGCGTGCCGTCGTGCCGTCGTGGGGACGGCTCGTGGGTCAACCTGACACCAATCATTTGGGGGAGTCCCCTATTTTAGGCAGGGGGCAAGCTTGCTGTTCAGCGCCGGGGGGACCATTCTTGGGAAACAAATCGCATGCCAACATCATTTTAGCGCTTATTCAAGTGCATTTTTCCCATCGCCTCCCATCTTTTCGTGCGTGATTGAGGACTAGCATATTGATGCGGGCCTTTCAAGATTGTCGATTGCCAGTATGCGCTGCAAACGCTGGCCTACTTAAAGGGGCCCCCAAAATAGTTATTTGAACAATGGTGGCTGTGGCTTAAACGTGTTTCGGTGGTTGGCAACGGCGCCTTCCCACTTGCTTGTACCTAGAGGTGCAATCAACAGTGTGCACGGCGCAGGAGCTTTCTACAGATGTCTTTCTGTTATATATATATATATAGATATAAGACAAGTGCGCATGCAGTTGACCTTTCTTGTTGAGCCGTGTGTTGCGTTGCTATTTACACTAAACCCCTTGCCAACGAGTCCTTAACTTGCGGATTGGGAACGGATGTAATGGATGCGCTGCTTTAACACTGTGGATTCGAGAAGCGACTTCTTGTGCCCTGGTGTTTTCCTAGGCCAAAGACAAGTCGCGTTGCTGCGACCTCAGCTTAAAGCTCGGCTTGAGCTACAAGGTTGATCCTGGCGCCGCATCTCGCACAGCTGATTCGAATGCAAAGTCTTGAATATAGCATGGGCAACACACTGTATTGCAATTCCCCAGGTTTTACACCTCTTACAGGTTGCAAACACGCTGGCAACCCCACTCCTGCACAGTTTGTGCCCTCAGGGTTTGTCAAAGTGGGCAGACTGCCTAGCTTGTCAGCTGTGGCTTGCAATAGGTGCTGAGGAGTGCTGACTGGGTTTGTCTTGAAAGGACACCCAAGGGGAAAACAGCTTTCTATTGGTCCCCTATCTTGAAACATACCCACCTGTTTACCGCGACTCAAAGAACAATCATCGGCGTTTCTTGCAGCACGCAAGAGCCGCATGACAAGTGCGAATCGCAATCGTGGCATTAGTGCCACCAGTTGGCAGTCAGTAAACTAAGTAAACTGTTATCAACGAGACTGGGGCTTAGGGTCTTTAGAACCCATGATGTTGCGGTTTCTGAGGACCTCGTTGGCTTTTTAACTGTTTGCCGCAACCGCGACAGCTAGAGTATGGGGTCTTAGACCCACTCCTGGGTTTGCACGATCACGGCGATTCTCCGTGAGCCCTCCGAGGTGCTGCGGCCCAGCAGCCAGCGTGCGCTGACGGGTCACCAGGGCCCTTTGCACCGCGCAGCCAAAGCGGGGCGCCTGGAGGTGTGCCTGGCGCTGCTGGAGGCGCTCTCCGACTGCCAGCCGGCTGGCGGAACTGGAGATGTCAAACGAACGGGGCACCTTATCAAGGGATCATGCTACCAAGCTGGTCCTCTTTTGCACGAGAACCCGCATTAAACCAACCAATCACCTGATAATATGAGTATAGTCGGTTGAATCGATGGAGTCGGGAGGACCCAAATTCCCGAGAAAGCAAATTCCCCCCAATTCGTCGCTGTCATCTTGAGGAACAAAGACATTGTCCCATGGTCCAGACGCTGGATGTAATCATTGCTTTTGAACTCACAGTCGCCAAGTGGCTACTAAAGTCAGCCATATTTCTTCGGGCTCAGCATCGAGTTTGCGTAAAGGTCTCCTGATCTCGAGGGAGTGGACTTGGCATTGAGCCTATCTCAGGTCGATCTTTTCCCGGGCACTTGCGGGGCAAGCGGATGGGCTCGCGTGATGGGCTCGCGTGCCAGGCACGGGCATTTGTCAATGCCAAGGACTGCGTCGCTGTGGCATTGAAATCTGGGAGTGCCCTCTTAGCTCGTGCGAAAGGCTTGACCTCAGGATAGTCAGTCAGAGGCCGCAAGGAGAAGGGGGGTAGAGCCACCTATCCAATGCCCCAGGCTCAAAAAGAGGCCAGAAGCCATCTTCAGCAACGAATTCGAAGTTAAATGGAGATTCATTGAGTCAGAGGAAGAAGCGAGAAAGATACGGACCTACGTACTCATCTCCGAATTTATCTTGGACAAACATGTTTCTCACCGCTGTGTCACGGGTGAATGTGACTTTTTAAAAAGCTTCTGGAAAATGATCTTGTGGTCATTGCGAAGGTTTGGTACCATTGGACTCTGTGGACCACATAGGATCTCCTTCAAGGGAGTATCCATCGTTGGCGCAGGACATGCACGGGTGCACGTGCTTGCACTACGCAGCCAAAGAAGGCAGACATGAGAGGGGTCTTGCGTGGCGGCTGATATGAAATGAGATCAAGCACTATCAAGCAAATTTTGGGCTTGAGCACGGTTAGGGGCTTTCTGGTTATGCTTGATGTGTTTCCCTTTCGCAGAAGTGTCAGGCCGGATTTTTCAGAAAGCAAACGGTATGGCTATGTCGCATGTGCATGTCATTCTGTATATTAAAATTTCGTTGGCGACGCTCGAGTTTGCTTGATACGCAAGTGCATGAAGTAGAGTGTCCAGTGTCGTCTAGGTGTTCAGATGTCCAACGACGATTGGTTTTGTACCGATTCTGCGTGTCAAAAGACCCATCCATTGTTAGGACAATACTGACATTGGCTTATTTGCGAAGATGATTTGAATTTGCTCAGCGCGTGACTTGTACCAGCAAGGAGGTGCAAAGCGCTGCGTGCATGGTGTTGGCACGTGAGTATCCCGGTCAGTTCGGTGGGTCGCCCGGTCCGTCAGTCCGTCAGTCCGTCAGTCCGTCGGGGCTGTTGGGGCTGGTCCGGCTGGTCAGGCTGTCAGTCAGCCAGTGGACCGTCGGGTCCGCGGGTCACGCACCCAAATCCCGCCTTAAATCCACCCTAATCCACCTAGAACTTTCCTAAACCCACACAGTTCCTGTGGGTTGTTCCTGTGCGAACCAGTATCCTGCCACACTAGGGCCACGCAGCAGTGCAATCGCACATGGCAATCGCGGAAGGCTCTCCCGAGTGTCAACACCCGTTGAGCTGAATCTCCTTTTGCTTTGGCTCTTTGTTTGCACATGGATTTTCCGCCGCTGGGCTGCGCAGAAACGCATAAACAACCATGTGTTTTTGGAAGCCATTTCAATCCCATCGACGAAACTGCAGGGGTTCCTATAGGCGCAGGATCTTATTTTTCCCCTCTTTATGAATGAGAAGTGAGAACCTTCTCAGCTTTCAGCTGACCTGTAGGAGCCATTGAAACCTTCGGCATGAGCGCTGCAGGCCACTCGGCAGTCTGCGCAGCGCTCCTGGCGCAGGCAGACGTCCAAGTGGTGGGGGAGCTCAGCTGAGCATCTGACGGTTGCACCCGCTAACGTCAAGCCTGACAGTGGGCGTGTTTGGAACAGGAACGCGGATGCTGAGATGGCGGGCCTGCTGTTATCATCCGCATTCCGCCATTGCCCAGATTTTGTGCTGGTCGGTGTGAGTGTAGTCGGATAGACCGGAAGACCGGATGTTTGAGTTTGATATGTATTTTAGTGTGCAAGTTGTGCCATGGAGTCTTGCAGTTTTCTTGATGATAGCGTCATTCTAAGTAAAGGTTTTTATGAGAACGTCCTTTCTGCTACCTTATTATGTGTATCATCGGAATCATATGTTTGTTGCGGGTGACAGAAAAGAAGTGGCACGCATTTTCACTAGCAGGCAAACACCGCAATATACGTTGAATACAGGCAACATGCAAGCATGCTTTAACACATGAAGAATCCAAGAAGGCATTTGCAGCCTCTCATCAGGGAATGGGAAGCAATTGGCAGTTGGCAAAACGGGCAACAACAAGCTTCTACCTTCCTGGCGTGCACCGAGAATCCAGTGTCAAGTATGCTGGGCACATTCGATTCAGTGCTCATGCTTGGCTGATCGACCTTACTGCCTGCCGCTTGCATCAAGCATCAAACGCCGTGTTGTCGTCATAAGACGTGCTTTGTCGGCGATGGCTCGCGATCCCAGCTTGGTTCTCGCGGTTGAGGAGGTCAGCTCCCACTACGTCTTTCAAACTCTTGCCAGCCGGTGCAACATTGAGGCGCTGAACTGCTCCAGCGCCTGGCCCAGACAGCATGTTTTGCCTGCCTTGTTTTTCAGACGCCAATCGTCCAGCGGCACCCCGTTTTTTCCCCAACAGCTGAAAGCTTTGGGGCTCAACTCAGATAGGCTCCGGGGTGGTACGGGGCAGCCCTGAGGTAAGCTTCCACGAGGGTTCCACCAAGGGCATGCTGTTGGGGATATCACCTGAGCTTTTTTTTTAATGGGTCGAGGTTCCCGTTTTGGCAAAGAAATGCCCATGAGCTTCGCGCTTGAAAAACCAAGCACGTGAGGCTTGTCCGAGCTGATGAGCTTCTCCGCCAAAGATCCCGTGATGGTCATCACCGACAACATCGACTGGTTGCAAAAGCTGAAAGGCACCTCTGGGACCCAGAATCTTGGCCATTCATGTCCGACTTTGTACAAGGTCTATGTCTTTTCCACTTGGCCCGCTCGAAAGCGAGTGGCCTTTGTGTTGTCAAAAATTTGGGAGCCATAGTCGTTGTGCATCCGAAAGGGGATTTATGCATTGCTTGGCTGATAATCCCCGCACACAACCCCTCCCACCAACAAGCAAGTAAGGGGATTCTGATTTGAAGGTCGAGGTTGCATCCCAAGAAGATTGAGCTGAGCAACAATGGGCAAGCGGGGGTCAACCAGTTGAACCGCATCATTTATAGAAGGGCCCAACATTTTGACCCAAGTAGGCGCCCAAACCCCTATGGCAATTTCGGTTGCGAGTTTCCGTACCTGGCTTCTTTGGGACCAATCTTGCATATAGACCTTTGTGACCATCTTGGTAGTTTAGGGTGGATTGACCCATGGGGTAAGGGTTCATCAGCGAGGTTCATGCAGGTTACATGGTGTTGAAGGGTTGCTCAAAATCGGGGGACCCCCAAACAGGGATGGTGTTGGTTTCCTTCTAAAGCACCCCCCCAAAAAGGTACCTTCACAGGGTTGACACACCCACGTAATACCGCAAGCGCCTCGCTTGCCGAGCTGAGCCGAGGGGGATCTTTCTGATCGACGCTACTTGCTCGGGCTGGGACTGGGGGTGCCAGCATGAGCTGCTGCCCTCCTGCTCCCTGGAGGACTTTGAGCAGAGCCCCGGAGTGAAGTCCAGCTTTTTTTTGTTCCTCCTTTTTTGTTTTTCTTCTTCTTCTCACCCTTTTTGGTGAGTTCGGTGGGAAGCTTCCGCTTTCTTTCTTTTTTTGGGTGTTCCCTTGGGGAATTGCGTGGAAAGAAGCACCAAAACCATCATCATTTGGTACTGCAGGGGTCCAATCATTTTGAACAACGTTTAGTTGACATCCTTGTGTCCCTTCTTTCTCTCTTGTTGTTCTCTAGTGCTACCATTCGACCCGATCACAGGCGATCCAAATTTGGCCCCTAAAAATAACAGCGCACGGGCCCGATCATGGTGTCCTTTTAGGAAGCTCGATAGCCCTGGTAGATTGTGAAACCACCAGGTTGACCAGGGCCATCTTTTTTTCTTCGCCAAAACAACAAACAAGGACACCTACAGACCCAATGATTGCCAATGTTCTACCCTTTCTATCATGGTACCAAAAAAATGTAGTGGCTGCTTTTGTGGCAGTAAATCCAAGAAAGAAGGAGGGGTTGTGGTTTGGGCACGTGTCAGGAAACCGCAAGTTCCTGCTCGGGGCATGTGAAAAGGCCAATCTTTCCATTCTCATAGACAGGTTGCGCAGCCTCTAAAACACGATCACAGCACCGGGGCCCAAGCAGGTTTCCACTACCGCTTCTTTCTCTCTTGTTGTCCCTTCTTTCTCTCTTTTTGTTTGGATATGTTCTTCTTGGAAGGATCACACATTGCACGCTCGTGGCCATTGTTGTCAGAGTTGTCCGACCTAAACGGCACAATGTTTAATTGGCAAATGTGGGGCCCCTGCTTTTTAAAGATATTGTTGAACAACAACCAAGAAACACGCGGGGGAGGTGTTCCTTTTTGTTTGGGTGCCTCCCTCAAACATCCACTGCCATAGCAAGTGGGGTAGTTTATACCGTGTTTCTTTTCCTGGATTCTTCAACAGTCCTGCATCCATCAGATGGTAGTGCATTTGTCCACATTATGAGTTAACAGATTGGGACTCCCCGCATCTTGACTCCAGTTGGGTGTGTCTCGCTTTATATAGGGGGGCGCACAAATGTCTATTTTCCTTTTGGGTGTCCTGTAAAACTTAACTCCCCCCCAAACACAAAGAGCAACCATCGTCTCCACACGGACCCCCCAAAGCAGTGGTTTCGTTGGTTTCCGTTTGCCACGAAAGGGAACCTTCCAAAAAGACGCCCAGTTTGACCCCAACACACGCCCAAAGGAGCTTGAGGCATGGTGCCCGCTGGTTGGAACAGCAGGCTTGAGCCGCCCGCCAGCGAGGCGGCCAAGTTGAAAAGCGGCCAAGTTTCGAAACCAATCAGACAAAGGCAAAGTATAGGTCCGTGTTTTTTGCGGGTACGGTGAGTGTACCCCTTTTTGGTGGTTTTCCTCTTAGTTTTCCTTTAAATCCGTACAAGAAGGGTACCCTCAAAAAAGACACTCATATGGCTTTGTCTCAAAAGGAGACCGGGCAGCAGTTTTTGGGAGGCCTCTAAAACAAGATGCACCCGTAATTACTTCAACTGTGCAAAGGCAATCCTGAATCCTTACCAAGGGTTACAAGGATTGGCCAGCCTTCTGTTTCGAACAGCCCAGACGGGTGTGTCTCTAAGAGAACCCTCAAAATGGGCATTTTGCCTTTGGTTTTCCTTCCAACAAAACCCCAAACAGGATCCCTGGAAAAAAGGACACCCGTTTATACATTGGTTATCAACAGCTGTTTCTTCCACCAATTTTTTAGCCTAGTGATCCTGAGTTGAGAAGAGGCTTCCCTTTGGCATGGACAAAAACAGATGTGTGATTACATAGGCGGAAACATGTACCACGTTCAAAGCTACTTACTTGTGGTTCACCGGGACAGTCCGACAAGCAACATCGTTTGACGGATTGAGCATTTGTCAGGGATTTTCCAATTTCTAGATATATAGATATATACATATATATATATATATATATGAATACCTTAATATCCTGTGAAGTTGTGACTGGACCAGGGCCATCCAACCCCGGAGGTATCGCTCAGCTTGCCTGAGTCCTGAGATTCCCTTGCCATGCACAGGGGCGAGGGGCTTGGGGTATCATGGAGCCTTGGTGGAGTTTGTGGAGCGACGGCCTTTGCAGAGGCCCATCCCCGAATGATTTGCAAAGTCCCCTTAGATTTTCGTGGAACAGCACGATAACATGCTTTTAGCTGCATCGACATTCGATGCTGCCGGGTTTCAATTCGGGCGACCCGCGGGCTTTGCTGTTTGTTTTGCGGCCTACCCGACATGGAAGTGCAAGGGGTTTTAATCTCTTGAGGTAATGCATGGCGGCACCGCAGCAAGCCCTGTGAACAAGCACAGCCGGCGTGCCAACTTCAGCGCCGCATTGCAAAAGCCAAGCAAGCTGGGCGTGCAGCTGAGCGCCAGTAGGCGTCTTCTACCTGCAAGCAGCTTGCGTCTCAGGCACGCAAATGTAGTCTGCAAAGTCATATGGCTATTAGTTTAAACGGGGCTCTTACAAAAAGGGTGGGTGTGCTGAATCCCCATGAACATTTCTTTCATCAAGGGCTGCCCAATTGCAAATCAGACCCACGTATCATGTGAGTGTGCAGAGTCATATGAGTCATATGTTTGAATGCGACGCGCTATAGCTGGCACGCTGTGCAGCCGGGCGCCAGTAGGTGTCTGCTATCTGACTTGCGAATATGCTACGCCTCAGATTCACCATTCGTCGTGATTTCCCTCAAAATTTACAAGCACACCTGCCTCAACCCATCTTGAATGACAGGGTGTTTCCTGTTCTTTGCTTGCAATATTGAGGGAGGTCGACGGACATGTCCAACTTTCTGAGAGGCTTTCCCACGTCAGAGACAATTGCCGAGCAGATGCATTGTATGTTCATTCTATTTTTTTAGGGCGGTTCCCCACCTCCTTACCGGCAGATGCTTCGGCTGGGAACGCTCGATTCTCTCGCCTGCCAAGCAGGCCCAATACATATGAGCAACGGCCTATATTTGCAGAAGACTACAGTAAAGGCCGAGAGGAACACTATTGTTACCTCACGCACAAACACATGCGGTTGGAAAACGAGGTCAATGAGGATAAACAGGCGCGGGGTCGGAGAACGAGGTGGGAACACCTGACCATTGAATCATGTAGCAAAATCGGCTGTAGCTCATATACCCTCCGGTGCCACGTTCCGGCCGTCGAACATGCACTGTGAATGGCTGCCTTGAGCAGTTGTTGCCAGTTCCAGGCTAGGTACAATGTAGATTCGGTCGGTGATCATTCCAATTCTCTCAGAAATGACATGTTGGGGAATATCCGTTTTTTGGGGGTTGGGCTTCAGCTCTTGACTCGTTGACAACCCCAAAACTAGCCATTGAACGACCGCCTGGGCTGATATTCTATGGGCGGCCGACTGAGTTGCTCCAGGAGGCAGGGCCTTTTGATTTGCGAGTTTTGAGTTGGCCATGTTGAGTCATGGCACAGGTTCAGCTTTCATTTCCAGGTCCTTCGAGTGAGCCAAGAGGTTTCAGCTCACGCGGATCCAGCGAGAAGTCAGCGACCTGCTGTCTTTTCAGTTCACGAGGTGAAAATTGGAGCGTCGCAGTCGCATTGCCGCAGATGTGACTTGTGACTCAGCGCCATAGAGTGAGTGGCTTCGGCTTTCTCGATTCCTGTAGAGTGCCTTTTTGTTTTGGCGCCCCCCAAACGCATTTTTGGAGACACACCCGTATTGGCTTTCCACATGTCTGTGGCTTTGACCGCAGCTAAGTTTGGGTTGCTTATTTGTTGGGTGGTCAAACCAGAGGCCCGTTTTGGGTTTCGGTGACATGTCGTGCCGCCATTTTTCAGGGGAGTCCAAAGGCAACTATTGTTCATTGTTCATACTGGGCATTTGTGACAAGGTGTCCGTTTTGCAATTGTTGAAGAACATCGAGAAAGGAAACCATGTGAGCAAAAACCAACATTGCAATTGGAGGTTGGTGGGGGACGTTCACAAGCCTAAAGGTATGGCTGCCTTTGGAGACCATCGCATGGTTTCCGGAAAACGTCTACTCACCGGGGGCGTCGTTATTGGTAGATGCGCTCCGGTTTCCGGCTTTCGCATGGCTGAGACAGCTGCCGACTCCCTGGGCTGCAGTGCGCTGCACAGTGCGGCAGCGGCAGGCGGGCTTTTTGCACCTGCTGCGGAAAGGGAATTCCAGAGAATAATGGAGAGGGAATTCCAATGTGGTGGTGTTTTTTTTGTTTGTGTTTTTCCCCACCCGACAGGACGGGGTTGTTAGATTTTATGTTAGAATCCACGTTTGCGATGCTTCTACACCACGCCCCCACCCAGTATCCCGCCAGAGCAGCTCGCCAGCGGATCCCGCCAAGTATGAGCAGCTCGCCAGTGGATCCCGCCGAGTATCCCGCCAGAGCTGCTCGCCAGTGGATCCCGCCCAGTATCCCGCCAGAGCTGCTCGCCAGTCGATCCCGCCGAGTATCCCGCCTGTGCGGCTCGCCAGTGGATCCCGCCAGTATCCCGCCAGAGCAGCTCGCGTCCAAAAAAAGGCTGATGGTGGAGGGTGGGGATTGCTCGAAGCGAAGTACTTTGTGGAGTTTTCCCGAAAGCATCGCGAAGGGTTCTTCCGTGCAGAGCCTTGGACAAGTTACATGGGCATTTCGCTGCGTCAAGAGAGCCAGTTACATAGAGCGCCAAGTTGCACAAGAGCCAAGTTGCACAGAGCCAAGCAGCACAGAGCCGTTACATAGAGCCAAGTTGCAAGAGAGCCAGTTGCACTCAGAAAAGCAGAGCCGCGGCAGCACAGAGCTATGCGCCAGGAGCCAAGCGGCACAGAGCCAGTTGGCATTGCGTTGCGCAGGCCGCTACAGAGCAGTTGCAGAGCCAAGTTGCACGAGCCAAGTGACACAGAGCCAAGTGGCGCAGAGGCGGCGCAGAAGAGCCAAGCGGCACAGGTGGCGCAGAGCCAAGCGGCACAGAGCCGCGGCGCAGGAGCCAGTGGCACAGAGCCAAGTGGCACAGAGCCAGTTGCATTGCGTTGCGCAGAGCCGTTGCACAGGAGCCAGCTCAGGCAGCCAAGTTGCAAGAGAGCGAGGCGGCGAGCCAAGGCGCGCAGTGAGGCGCGCAGAGAGAAGCGGCACAGGTGGCGCAGAGCCAAGCGGCACAGAGCCAAGTGGCGCAGAGCCAGTGGCACAGAGCCAAGTGGCACAGAGCCAGTTGCATTGCGTTGCGCAGAGCCAAGTTGCACAGAGCCAAGTTGCGCAGAGCCAAGTTGCACAGAGCCAAGTGGCACAGAGCCAAGTGGCGCAGAGGCGGCGCAGAGCCAAGCGGCACAGGTGGCGCAGAGCCAAGCGGCACAGAGCCAAGTGGCGCAGAGCCAGTGGCACAGAGCCAAGTGGCACAGAGCCAAGTCAAGTGGCACAGAGCCAAGTCAAGTGGCACAGCGCCAAGTGGCACAGAGCCAAGGTTCCAACTTAGCGTGCCCGTTAACATGTATACATTTGCTGGCCTCATTAGAACCTGTTTCCAACTTAGTCTACTATTTGCGGCATTGACTCCACTGATGGTTCTGCCGGATGTGGGCCCGTAAATGCAGTTGCTTGAGCCTGTTTCCAACTTAAGGTGAACCTTGCGGCATTGATTGATGCTTCGCCTCTAATGTGTACACTTGCTTGAACTTGTTTTCCACTTAGTGTGAATTTGCGGCATTAACTTCAGCTATTAATGTTCTTTTGCGGCATTGGTGCTTCGGCGTAAGCAGCTATGTAAGTTAGTTTAGGTTTCTAAGGCGCCGGGGTGGGAGTTTGATCATCGCTCGGGATTGCGACCCTCTGCGGAGATCCGTGTGGTCGAGGTTAAAAAACTGAGGGCTTTTTACGATTTCTGCGGCGCCCGCGCGATTCTCTGCGGAGATCCGCGTGGTCGAGGTTAAAAAAACAGAGGACTTCTTACGATTTCTGCGGTGCCCGCGCGATTCTCTGCAGAGATCCGCGTGGTCGAGGTTAAAAAACAGGACTTTTACGATTTCTGCGGTGCCCGCGCGATTCTCTGCAGAAATCCGCGTGGTCGAGGTTGAACAACAGGGGACTTTCTACGATTCTGCGGTGCCCGCGCGACCCTTTGCGGAGTTCGCCAAGACGACGAATTCGCACGGCGCCGCAGCGAGCGCGTCGACACGCACGATCTCCGCAGACAGTCGCGCGCGCGCGCCGAAAGAGTCGAAAAAAGTTCACAGTTCTTTGACATCGACCGCGCGGATCTCCGCAGAAGGTCACGCGACGCAAGAATCGTAAAAAGTCCTCAGTTGTTTAACCTCGACCACGCGGACCCCTCTGCGGGCGGAGATCGTGCGTGTCAAAGCGCTCTCGCTCTGGCGCCGTGCGATTTCCTTGCTTGCGAAATGGTCTTTGGATGTTGTCTCGTAGCTTGCGCGCCTGCTTTCGCAATTCCGCGGTCGCGGGTTCGATTCGCCCCTGGTCCAATCGCAACTTCTCAGTATGAAGGTAGTAAGGCGAAGTACACTTTCGCGGCTCCGGCTGGAACAAGTACGAAAGTAGTACGGGAAGTAAACTTTCGCTGCTCCGGCGCAACTTTTGAGCACGAAGTACACTTTCGCGGCTCCGGCTGGAAAATCGCAACTTTTACGTACGAAAGTAGCACGCAAAGTACACTTGCGCAGCTCCGGCTGGAAAATTGCAACTTTGAAGTTCGAAAGCATTTCGCGACGTAAACTGTTGCAGCTCCGGCCGGAAAATCGCAACTTCTAAGTACGACAGTAGTACGCGAAGTAAACTTTCGACGCTCCGGCTGGAATATCGCAACTTTTGAGTACCAAAGTAGCGTGCGAAGTAAACTTCCGCAGCTCCGGCTGGAAAATCGCAACTTTTAAGTACGAAAGTGTTTCGCGAATAGAGGAAACTTGTTCAGAGCAACTTGCTGAGAGAACTTGCTGAGAGAACTTGCTTGGAGGAAATCGCGACAACTTGCCCAGAGCAACTTGCACAGAGAACTTGCTTGGAGAACTTGCTCAGAGCAACTCGCGCCAACAACTTGCTCAGAGCAACTTGCACAGAGAACTTGCTTGGAGAACTTGCTCAGAGGAACTCGCGCCAACAACTTTGCTCAGATGCGCAACTGCACGGAGAACTTGCTGGGATTGCAAGGAGAACCTGCCGCCGCTGCCAATGCTTTCGGGCCACCCGCCTTGTAGATTTTCCTTTTTTCTGGACACCAACCGGAAACTAACCCTGGGAGTCCTCTTTTGCGGCAAGCCCGTGTATCGGATTCCAAACACGGCCCACTTTAGGAAAGGATCCCTGCCTATGAAGGTTAGTTGTTCGTGACAGCTGCCCGGGCAGACCATGGCTGAACGCTGAATTGACCCAGTTGGGCACCCCCCTCCCATTCTAGCCCTGCGACGGCACACAGGCGCACACTAGACAACCCAATGGTGATGGAGAAGGTAAACGCCA